GGTCGAGACCTACTACAGCCGGGAGGAACACCGCTTTCCCGGCACATTGTGCCTCGACCTCCCGGTCGGCTTCGAGCTGGCGGCCTCCGAAGAATGTGGCTAAAACTTTTGCGAGATCCCGAGTTCGTTTTTGCGAGATCTCGCAAAAGTCCGTCTTAATTTTTTTTTTCTCCCATGTCCCCTGCGGGGCTCCGTAAAATCCCGCCATCTGCTCAAGCTCATGAAATTAAAATTACAGACATAGAATTTTCTTTGTTTTGTTTATTTTTGTAGCTTTAATGCTAGCAGTGTGTGGCCGTGTGTGCTGGTAAATATCTGTATAGGGATGGCCTTTTGTTTGATAGCATCTGAAAGAGTTCATTCTTGATTAAGAATGTGTTTGCCTGGAATCAGTGTAATGAAACGAACACACATGGCTTTGCTTTCATTCGTTTTCAGTCAAAGTCATGTCATGAACACTGGCTGCTTTTAGTCATAATCTACATCCTTGTTTTTAAATGTGGAGCCAGAATGTGAAGTGCGTGACATTTTCAAAACACTTCTCTAATACAAGTGTGTTGTGAAAGGTTGGTTTAGTGTTGAGACATCGACTTAAATGGTGGCAGGAACTGAATCTTCTGCTGGTGTTAACTCCCTTTGCCTTTGATATTGGAGTTGGTGTTTTAATTTTGTGGTGTGTGGCAAGTAGACTTTTTTTTATTTCTTGCAACTTGTAACTACTGTTGACGATCGTGATTTGTGAATGTAGCGTTCTGAACACTGAACATATTTATGTATATAAGGGATTGCGCATATTTGAAAATAAACACTTAATGAATGCATTAAAGTCTTGGAAAATGACAATCACACATTCGATCTCCAACACGAGTAATGAAAGAAGACTGACATTTAAGTCTATGTTTTCTTAGTCTCGTTTTAACCCTCTCAAGGCAGGCGTTGCCGATTCGCAACAGTTAAAAACTAACAACCTGATTACCCCACATACATATTTTATGAGTTTTTTTTACTCCAAAGTACCACTGCAGGACTTGGTTGTGCATTAGCAACAAACAGTTTAATTTGAGCCTGAGAGGGTTAAAATCGGGGCATAAAGGTCGCCAACGCCAGCTGACATATAAATCCATTAAAGGCAGAAGGGTGTGAATTCGCAAGTATTTCATATACATGTATTGCTTTCCTCTTAGTATGCATTTTAGATGTGCATTGATTCAATTAAAGGTCATCTTGAGAGCAGAATACAAACTGTAACCATGTGCTCCACTGAATATCCATCTGAATACAGTGAACTCATCGTTGTGTTAAGAAACCAGTTTCCAATGATCTGAACTCTATTGAGTGACATTAAAATATGGGTGCACTGTAGTCATGAAGGAATGGATGTTCAAAACAAAAATACTCAGGCTGTGGTGTCAATGTTCACTTGGTACAAGGAGCCGCCCAAAAATGTCTCCCACACCATTGAACCACCACCAGGAGTCTGCACCCAGGAAGGACGTCCTGCTTTCATGTTTATCCTCCTAAGACTCTTCCACGACATGCATTTTTAATTTCTCTTTGATATTTGGGCATATTGGGGCCCGAAGAACAGAAAAAACAAAGAATTAC